CTTCTAAACAATTATTCTGTCTTTCAAAAGCCTTTACTTCATTATTTGTTATGAATAAAAGTCACTATTATAGGGCAGGTTAAGCATCGCTATAGCACAGGAGCCAGTAAAAGAAGGAAATATGTCTGTGTTATTTCTGACCTGGCCAATAAAACAGAGTGGTGAAATGCATTATGCCTCATGGGCTGGCCTTTTGTACCAGCCCAGCAACTGGTGTCTCTGAGCCTCTGGTCCAGAGTTTCCTCAGTGGTCAAGTCTAGTCTAGTTGTGGACGTAGGAGGGTGGGGCAGGCTGGAAGATGTTCATTTGAGTGTTAGGGCACATCCCTTTTCTGTTATTGTGCAATAAATTCAACTAGTTTATCTGTGGCATGCAAAGTTAGTGTCGAGCTCACAGCTGGTGCCCTATTCATGTTATTAACAGGTACAGTCTTTACACAGCGCCTGAGAGCGGAGATCCTGGTTCGTGGCTTGTTACGTGTTATTGCAGACTCAGTTGTTGGGATCTAGTTTGATGAACTGGCAGACGCTTCTGTTCCTTCTGTCCCCTTGATTCTCTGGGCAAAACAGTGATGTCACAGGGTCTGCCAAACTTGGGGGAGCTGTTCTCTGCTCCAGACCATACCTTTTCCCCCTTAACCTAGGTATTTATTTATTTAGTTCTTTTTTTTCCCCCTCAGATCATACTTGAATCTTTTTTTTTTTTTTTTTTTTTTTTTTTGAGACGGAGTCTTGCTCTGTCACCCAGGCTGGAGTGCAGTAGCGCGATCTCGGCTCACTACAAACTCCGCCTCCTGGGCATACTTGAATCTTTTAAATCACAGTGTGACAGAAATTTCAGAAGAGCAAGAGTGGGGGGCTAAGGGTTTCACTGCCCTTTATCCCTTATCCATTGCAGCAATCAGTGTTGAGATGTCATCAGCCCTGTTTCCTGCCCTCTGTTGTAAGGAGGATGACTCCAATCATTAGCAAAGGTCCTGGCCCCAGAGCACATGCTGCTCTCTCAGCCTGGGAAGTGGGCAACACAGGGATATTGCTTGCTGGCTGCAGTGGAATTCCCGTGGGACATGCTGGACTATTATTTCATTGCCTGAGTCTGGAGGCTGTGTGTGGCCTTTGATACCATCTGTATTTCTGGAATTGTGGGGCCAGGGTAAAATAGAGTCACACTTCTGTGTACTTATCAAGGATAGAAAAGAGACAAGTTTTTCCCTAGTGTATTTGTTTGCCCAGGATAGAAATTGTGTTGAAATTGAATTATCACTTCCCTTTGCCTTATGTGGGTAACAGAGGCAAGTTTCTGCCAGGCATGATGGCTCACACCTGTAATCCCAGCACTTTGGGAGGCCGAGGCGGAAGTTGGAGACCAGCCTGACCAACATGGAGAAACCCTGTCTCTACTAAAAATACAAAATTAGCCGGGCATGGTGGTGCATGCCTGTAATCCCAGCTACTCGGGAGGCTGAGGCAGGAGAATCGCTTGAACCCGGGAGGTGGAGGTTGCAGTGAGCCGAGATTGCACCATTGCACTCCATCCTGGGCAACAAAAGCGAAACTCCGCCTCAAAAAAAAAAAAAAAAAAAAAAAAAAAAAAAAAAAAGACAAGTTTCTCCCTAATCTAAGCAAGCCAAAAATGGCAAAGAACAAGCGGGAAGCCTCCACAGACTTCTGTGAGGCCGGGGCAGATGTGTAACAGGCACCAGCGCCTTGGTGGGTCACGGTTCTGCTCACCTTTTCCTGGGAGAAGGAAAAACCCTTTTACTGGTGAGAACACTAAGACTCAGAGTGTACTTGCCCTGATCACCTATCTAGAAGGTGGCAGAAAGTGCCTTTGCATGCAAGTCTGTCTGAATCTGAAGCAGGTCCTTTCCCACTGCAGTGGAGGTGTTCTTTTAGAACCAAACAGTTCTTGCACTTCCTCCCCTACCTACCTATACAGGAGTGGGAGGCAGGGCCTGCCAGCCGCAGGGCGGTCTTTCTGTTTTGGTATAGAGCATAAGTGTGCCTTACTGGGGGCAGAACAGAGCATGCCCTATTCCAACAGGCCCACAGTGTCAGGCAACTGAAGACTGGGTGTATCTGCAGTCATCTCCATCATGAGTCAGAGGATGAGTCCAAGAAAGCCTCATGATCTGTTGCAGCGGGCCAGGTTGGTCCATGTGGCTCCTTTGCTGGGAAGACTTCAAGGATAACCATGTCACTTCCTGGCTGGAGACCAAGCACTCTCAGCAAAACCTGTACTCAAAGCAAAGCAGCTCATTGCTATTCTTAGAAAAACAAATTATGAATTTTAGTCCTGTTCATTTGATAGCCACAGGAGGCTGGTGAGAAAGGTCTCTGTCGGGGGATGGAGGGATGGGCAAACCTCAGATTCCCACGACACTAGTCAGCCTTTCAGGGTTGCAGGAGCCTTTGCAACTCAAGGCCAAGCAAAGGTCTGGGAATTCTACCAAGCGTGGCTGAAGTTGGCCCTCTTAGAGTCAGGTGATCCGGGCTCTACAGTTATTTGTTGCATAACCACAGGCAAGTTCAGGAACTCTCTGGGTCTCCATGTTGTTGTTTGAAAAATGAGATGGTGTGGGGATGGCTGACTTCGCTAATGTCTGTTCCCCTTTCAGATCTTACATCTTTAAAATGTTTAAAGCACACCTCAAATATTAACATACAAGAACAGTAAATTACACCTTATGATTTTTGTTTTTCTCTGAGTTCATCATCTCTTAAATATGCTTGCTTGGCCAGGCGTGGTGGCTTGCGCCTCTGATTCTAGCACTTTGGGAGCCCAAGGCAGGAGGACTGCTTGAGCACAGGAGGTCAAGTCTGCAGTGAGCTATGATTATGCCACTGCACTCTAGTCTGGGTGACAGAGCAAGATCCTACATCTTAAAAAAATAAAAATAAAAAAATGCCCAGGTATGAACAAATGATAAGGAAGCTCTATTTCTGAGTATGCCACTTTCCTAGAATGCTGGGAGATTTTACTCTGAAGAACTCTTTAATTACATAACTTCTGTTTCTGCTGAAATTCTCTATGTTGTTGTCTACTTGTGTTTTACATTTTATTACAGAAAATTTGAAATGTAGCAAGAGAATTATGTAACAAACCCCTGTGGACCCATCAACCAGCTTCAACAATTATCTACATTTTGTCAATCATGTTTCATCTACCCCCCACTTCCACCCCATGCATACTTTTGGCAAAGGGGAGTGGCTGGAGTATTTGTAAGCAAATCTCAGACTTCATATCATTTCACTGTTAAATGCTTCAATTTGTGTTTCTAACAGAGAAGGCCCCCCTTTGTATAAAATATGACTACCATGCCATTATTACACCCACTGAATTAACAGTGACGAAGGAGTTCTTTGAACTTTTAGTGAATTCAGGGTGGAAGTGGTATTGGGATGAAGAAGCCCTGGTCTGGATTTATCCCCTTTACCCAAAACAATGGGGGAATTCATTGAAGGGGATCTTGGGGCTTAAGCTGTCACTTGGCCCACCCCTTACAAGACTTTCAGAAAGCAAATTTGGAAAAGACCTGTCTGTTCAGAACAATGGATATAACTAGCATTTGCTCAGCACCCTTTGTGTACATCTCCATATATATTATCTCCTTTAACCTCCACACCAAAAAGCTGAGAGTAGAAACCAAGGCTCAAGGAGGACCTTCCCAAATATTAACTTCTGATTGGTCAACCCTAGAATATCATAATGTTACTGAAACAATAGGAAATTCCCCATACTGAATCAATAGGAAATTCCCCCCTAGCATCAGAGCATAGGTTATTGGGTTCATGCCTTAATCTAACCAGATGTTTAACTCCTGTAGCAACAATAACCAGTTCATTCATTGTTTATTGTTGTTTGGTTTTTTGTTTTGTTTGTTTTGAGACAGGGTCTCCATCTGTTACCCAGGCTGTAGTGCAGTGGCACAATCATGGCTAACAGCAGCCTCAAACTGCTAGACTCAAGAGATCCTCCTGCCTCAGCCTCCCAAGTTGCTGGGACCACGGGCATACACCAGCATGTCTGGCTAATTTGTTAATTTTTTGTGGAGACAAGATCTTACTCTGTTGACCAGGCTGGTCTCAAACTTCTGGCCTCAAGCAGTCCTCCTGCCTGGGCCTCAGTACCCAGCTACCAGTTTATTCTTTAAGATTCCCTGGGAAATAGTTAAATGAAGATAATATCTTATTAGGCAGACAGAACATGAAAATGCCTTCCTCTCTTCAGCCCAGGTTGAAGGATTCTAGGCAGTCTTCCCCTCTCTCTAATTCGCTTTCCCCAAATGGATATGAGGGCAAATCACAGGGCTTATAAGTCATTTTCTAGGATTAGAGGACCTTTGTAGATTTGTGCTTGAAAGGATTGGATTTTTTGCATTGGAAACCTATAACTTATTATTTAGTTAGGAGAATCTTTAAATAGAAAACTGAAAAAGTGCCTCCTTATATACATTTAGCAGTAGGAAGAGGCCCCTTAAAGTATTCTGGGAGGGGGGAAAAAAGGAATGGAGATAAGGTGGGGAGGAAGGAAGTGAGGTAGGGAGGAAAATAAAAATTAAAGAACCCTCATGAATCCCAGATTGATTTTATGACCTGTTTTGAAAGGAGCTCTAGTAACTTATGTTGTTTGTGTTTAAAGTGTCCTTCTGCAGACCCAAAGTTGTAGGCAAATACCTGCTTTCGTAATCAGATCATCCAGCAGGTTTCCTGTGAAGCTACTGAAGCTTAAACTTCAGGGTTCTTTCCTTGTATTGGTCCCTCCCAAAGCCTTGGTAGGGGCTCTAGAAATGTGTTCCCCGCTCAGATGCATCAACTCCAAAGCACACAAACCCAGATACAGCCCTGGATCTCAGGAATCAAGTTCTCAAGGGAATGATGTGCCAGAACCATCTCTTGATAAGTCCCAGATTTCCCAGTAGTACAACTTGCCTTTGTTTCTTTTTAATTTCTTCTTGTAATTTGCACATATTTAACCCCCTTTGTATTTCATTTGTGCAGATGAAATTATGCAGCAGGAAGTCAGGCCCTTGATGGCGGTGGAGATAATAGAACAACTTCACAGACAATTTGCCATTCTTTCAGGTAAGGAGGACATTCATTTGCATTTCCAGATTTTGATGGGGGTGGAGGGTCTTGATGGGAAGGCCCAACCTCTTGAACCTTGAGGAATATTATACTCAAATCTTACCCCTTAGGCCTCACCCAGGACTAGAACAGGCTGAGGCCTATCCTGCCAGAAGAGGGTGGGATCTCATATATATTATTACCTTTGCTGTTCAGTGCAATCTGATCTTTCCCAAAGGAGCACATTTCTTTGTGGTTGTAAATAACAGAGCTGAAAAGATTTTGAGGAAAGAAAAAGAGATAACTACTGACATCAGCTGCCACCATGATGTTCTTCCAATGTTCCTGTTGGATGTTCTTCCAAGATTCCTCCTTAAAAAGGTCTAAGTTCTAAGGGTTCCCAAATGTTGCTGAGGTTATTTGTTCTCTGGGAGAACTGTCTTTTATTCTTAGCTCATTTAAGGGGATTTCCATTAAGCATTTAATTGGGAATGAAGAGAAACTGTTCTGACTAAAAGTCTAGCATTTTTTGAGCCTAGACACAACCCTGAAAGGCTGTCATGACTTGAATATTGTTCTTTCTTATTCGCCTAGCTAAGGGTGACATGACTTTAATTACTAAAACTAGAAGTAGATGCCAAACCCCAAATTGTAGTTAGACCCAACTTAGAGAATGAAGTGGTGACATTAGATGTGCTTAGTATATAACATGGAGGGATAAAGTAGCAAGTTACTATTTTCAACTTTTACATCTCTTCTGAAAAAAACAACAAAGCCATCTTAGTTACATCACAGAGAGAATATGTAGTTGGCGTGAATTTTATTCTACAACATGGGATGTAAAAAAAAAAGTCCCATCTCTTTCTTTTCTCCAAATCACACTTAATCTGCTCCAGGCTCCTCATACCACTGATTTGAAGGAGATGCGAACTCAGTTACTATTGGGATACTTCTCCCAACCCCAGCATTGCCTCCTGGGTGGCAACATCTTACATAATCCAGGACATTCTGGGGGAATTCTCTGGTCTTCACATTAGTCACTGCTCACATAGTCACTGAAAGCTCCATAAATACAGGGTCCTCCTTTTTCTTCTTTCTGTCTGTATTGCCAATACTTAGATCAGAGACTAGAACATAAAAGGTACTCAGTACAAAAATATCCAAGTCCCTGTGGTCTATTCTGTGAGGCCCGTGGTCTCCCTGCTCCCCAAATGCCTAGTTAGGCACCATTGGTCCCTGTGGGAGGACATAACCAGCCTCCTGAAGGCTCATAGCTTCCCACTATGAGTCTAGGCTTGCGCAAGACAAAAGGCAGAATGGGATCTGTCCTCTGGGTTCCTGGAAGCTGTTGCTGTGGCCCTACCACAGAAGGCTCCAAGACCACCATGCAGCTCAAGGTCTGGAATGGATGACAGGGTGGGCTGGGGTCGGGTAGATTCCTAGAGCCTCAGACTAAAGCTCTAAGACCTCAATGCATGATTCTGGCCTATATAATTATGCAATGGCTCATCTCAGGAATCAGTCTAGTGACTGATTAATTAATACATTTATGATCCAAATTTATCTCCTTTGAGTATTATTGAGGCATTTCTTTCTGTTCTTATGACTTAGAGGCAATATAGAAAAAACATGAACTGGTATCAGACAGCTCCAGATATGAATTTGGATTCTGTACTTACTAGCAGCGTCACCTTGGGCAGCTTACTTCTCTAAGCCTCAGTTTCCTTATCTGTATGATGGGATTATTGTAACTTTTTTTTTTTTTGAAACGTAGTCTTGCTCTGTCATCCAGGCTGGAGTGCAATAGGATAATCTCAGCTCACTGCAACCTCCACCTCCCAGGTTCAAGTGATTATCCTGCCTCAGCCTCCTGAGTTGCTGGGATTATAGGGACCCGCCATCATGCCTGGCTAATTTTTGTGTTTTTGTAGAGACGGGGTTTCACCATGTTGGCCAGGCCGGTCCTGAACTCCTGACCTCAGGTGGTCCACCTGCCTCAGCCTCTTAAAGCGCTGGGATTACAGGCGTGAGCCACTGCACCCAGCCAGTAATTTTGAGGATTAAATGACATAATGTATGAAAAATGCTTAGTATTGCAACTGCTAAATAAGTGTTTCTCTTTTTTTCCGATATCTTTTATAGTGCTAAATAAGTGTTTCTCTTTTTTGCTGATACATTTTTATAGTTCTATAAAATGTTTATTTTGGGGTTCTATTACAAGTAAGATAGTTTTTATAAGGAACTGAAGTCATGCTCACGTAACTATGGTATACAATGCCACCATTGATTAGGAATAGAGAGGATTGTCACTCCTTAACGTAGAACAGAGAACTGTGGAAACACACACTGGGCACAGAATACACTTCTGCTTTAGGAAGTTACTTTGACCATAATAAAGATAACCCTTCGTTTCTGAGTTTCTTTTGTCATTTAAGTTTGTCTTCTTTTTTTCTTCTCTTTTCCTTTTTTTTTTTTTTTTTTTTTTTTTGAGACATGGTCTCGCTTTATTGCCCAGGCTGGGGTGCAGCGGCACAGTCTTGGCTCACTGCAGCCTTGACCTCTCAGGCTCAAGTGATCCTCCTACCTCAGCCTCCTGAGTAACTGAGACTACAGGCAGGCACTGGCGCACACCATCATGCCCAGCTAATTTTTAAATTTTTTGAAGAGATGGGGTTTTGCCATGTTGCCCAGGCTGGTCTGGAACTCCTGGGCTCAAACAATCTTTCCATCTTAGTCTCCCAAAGTGCTGGGATTACAGGCGTGAGCCAGCACGTCCAGCCCAAATTTGCCTTTCTTATGAAGGAGAAGCATGGATTCGCTGTGATAGTAATTACAGCCTTGCAAGCCTGCAGGAATAGCGGCAGCCGTGGGTCTCTCTGAGTCAGCACTTTGTTTGGAATCAGAGGCCTGCTTTTCATCTTTAACCATCTCTCTTTTTCTGGCAGAAACAGCAGGTGTCAGCAAGGAGGCTGTTGTGGGGGCCAGTACAGTTGTTGTAAAACAGAAATCTCTCTAATTAGGTCTTTTCCCATGGCTGTGGTAGCCTAAGAGCTGCAGTCTCAGCCCCAACTCGCAGCAGTTTCCTTTTCCTGATTCAGGCAAGTAAGGTAAATATTTTCCCTACAAAATTTTCTACCAATTTCATTGATCTCTGGAAGGAGCCAGAGGCCCTGTCAACCAGCAAAGCTGTGAAGGAGAAGATAGAGCCTTTTCCTCAATGCAGCTCTAGCTGCCTAGTCTGCTGAACTGTGCATGTGTTCCCACGGCTGGTAGAAGAGCAGAGGCTCATTACATGAAGCCTGACCCAGATTTGTGGCCCAATGGTTTGCAGCCTTGAAGCCTGTGGGCAGGGCCACCAGCGGGAATTGGATATTGACCGGGGCTGGGGCCTCTGGGAGCTCTGACATTGGAAGACACCTGCATGTTCACAGTGAACTTGGGATATTTCTAAATTCAGGGCTTAGCTAGGAAACGAGAGTATAACCTGGTTAGTGTGGTGGAAATATTCTGGGCTTTGGACTCAGACAATTCTGGGTTCACATTCCAACACAACCAGTAGGTGGCTCCGAACCTCGGTTTTTCATCTGTAAGAAGAAAAGTGCTCAGCATGGTATCTGACTACCAGGGAACTTAACCTCTGAGACTTGTTGGTTTGTTTTTTAAACTGCATAACGAGGTCTGAAGATAGAAACTCTTGGTATTGGATCAGAGGCTCAATGACATTAAGGTTGACATCTTTATGATTCTCTTGATGTTTTCTTCTTACTTGTCAACTCTTGATTCAAGGTGGCTGCTGCAATTCCAGACATCAGGTCAGTGTCCAAAGCAGGAAGAAGGAGAAGGAAAATGCTGGCTTCTTCAGTTCCGTTTGTAGAAACTCTTGGCTGCCTTCTGCTTATGTCTTATTCTAGAATTATGTCACACAGCCATTCCCTGGCAGCAAGAGAATCTCAGAAGGCAAGCATTTAGCTTTCTAACTGCCACAGGAGATGGTGGTCAGGGAAAAGGGGATTGGGAGTGAATTAGCCATTTATCAACATTGCCACAGCTCCTTTCCTTTAATTATAAGGAATTGTCCTTTTAGCTTTATCTTGATGGTTGTTTCCCACTTGGAATTACTGTGTCTGAATCTCTCTCTTTCACTTTCTCTCCCTCTTTGCTCCCTTTCTCTGCCTCTGTCTTGTGGCAGCTTGAATCCTTTTGAAAGTAATTGATGAAGAAATCAACTGCTCAATACTCTTAGGCTTGTAGAGTCCCCAGTTTCCCCTCATACACACCAATGAACCCCAGGTTTGGTGGCGGGTAGGGCTCCCAGGGGTGAGTGGGGGACTCCTACCTGAAACAATGGAGAATGTCAAACCAAGGAAGAGATCAGAGCCCCAACTCCTAACTTACCTATGGAGCTAGTGACTTGAAACCTGGGCGATGAGAACCAAGGGTGATATCTAGAGCAGGACTGTTTAATAGACATACAGTGTGGCCCACACGTGTACTTTAAAATTTTATAGTAACCATATTAAAAAGGTTAAAATAAATGGATACAATGAATTTTAATAATATATTTTAAAATTACCCATATCTGAAATAATATTTTCACATGTACTCAATATTTAACATTATTGAGATTTTACCTTTTTTATTCTAAATCTTTGAAATCTAGTTCGCATTATATACTTACAGCATGTCTCAGTTTGGACTGGTTACATTTCAGGTGCTTCATAGTCACATGTGTCTAGCGGCTGTTGGATTCGGTAGTGCAGGTGAGAGGGAAGGTTCTCAGTCATGTTTGACTGAATATCTCCTTTTTATAACAAAAGATTTGTATTGCCCTCTGCCATCCTAACATGAAATTTATACATACTATAACTTGTATCTGCAAGGGTGGGCTCAACAACTACAATAGACTCCAAAGGGTATAGGGCTCCAACTGTAACCACCCAAGGGGTTGACCTTGCCTGCTGCCCAGACAGAGCCAGGGGAATTGCAATAGAGAAAGAGTAATTCATGCAGAGCCGGTT